AGGGAAACACTCACCGTCCACTGTTACATGCACAGTTCTCTCCACCGGGATAACTGGCACTGTCTTGTTATGAAACTGTATGTTGAGTTTCAGGTGGTAATCCCCCTCATCGTCCTGGTTTAAAGTCTGGATACTCAAAGAAACATTGGGTTCTCTAAAGCGGAGGTGGTTGCGGTACATCATGTCAGTGATTGAGTTCTCTTTGGTAAACGTCACCAACGTGGTTCTGGTGCCACTCAGCCTGGTGAGGGACCAAGTTCCCTGGATCTCAACTTCATCCAAAGGGAAGTGAGTCTCAACAGACAGGAGCAGGGACTGCCCTTCCATACCATGATGGATTAATGAAGGGATGTGGATGAACTCAGAGCTGGCTTCTGAGTTGGCAGGAGTTGGAAGAGAAGGAGAGGGATAGAAACCAACAGAGTTAATGTACAATCACTGCAGGGTCACACTGGATCTCACATGAAATAGAAACAAGAACAAAAGAAGGGATCAACACAAAAGTCTGTATCTGTCTTTACAGTGTCTGTTAGTTACTGAGTTTTCTATAAGTGTTCATTTTTTGCTATAATTATTAACAAAATGTGTGATTGATGCAGAGACCAAAGTTTAGGTAAGCAACTATCTAAATAATTTAACTGGTTCAGCAGCTAGTACAAGTAGGGTGATCCACCTGCAGGGTAAGAGGTAAAAAATGAACCGCCATTCCAGCCTGTCATTTTGTAATTATCTCAAGAAGGACTACTGGATGGTGATGAAAAGCTATCTGACATTTCAACCTGCCACAAATGACTTTTTGGACAACTGGAAGCAGTGCACCAAGCTGTAAACACAATACTGACATATTATCAACGTATAAAGTTGATGTGGCAAATGTGTTAGAAAACAGTTGTCCATTTACACATCCAGCAGACACATAGCAAGATTATTATTATTCGAAGTTGTGTTTCTGGCAACATGACAATTTCCAATATTCACTCTCCTTTAGCTCTGTTTTTGGTCCCTGTTAACTCCTGTCAGAATATAAAACGGCTAGACGATCTACCATGTTTACTAACTTGTTGCTAACTTTGTCTGTTTTGGCTGTTTGGTGCTGAGTACAGTCAGTTTTTTCAGCTGCCTGTTGCGTCTGGGAATAACACCCATGAGGTGAGAGTGATTCAAAGCAATACTGAAAGTTGCAGGAAGTAAAGCCAAAACAACAAGCTGAAAGACGCTAAAACTCTCCGTAGAGGGAGACTACAAAGTGAGGTGATAATTCTCTGTTGGTGTGTTACTAGAAGAGATATCTTACGTGTTACACATAGTTTTTGTTTAATGTTAGTAAGAAAATACTGATTAATGCATCTGTAACAAAACGTGGATATTTAAAACAATGTAGGATATACATGTACTGTATACTAATACAGGGGTTTTCAAACTTCAAACTTGTCTGGGTTGTAGGGGGTCCCCAGCAAAAAGAGGAATAAAATATTTTCTTTTAGAAGCAAAACAAAAAAATAAATAGGGATTTTGATTGATTGTAATTTATAGTGATCCTAGTTTGATCATTGATTGGCAATGAAGACTTAACTATCTTTAAACCTAAAAATAAAAAAAATATTCAGAATGGATTCCTTAAGACAAAATCCTCTCGGACTGAGTGTCTGTGGTTTAATGTGCATCCAATGTGGGGGCCCTTGGCATGAAACAGTTTGTGTGCTCCACTTTTCACCAAAACAAAAAAAAAAGAAAAAGACCTAGACACTATCATTCTTTTGTAAAAACTATGTGAGAGCAACCATAACACAGACATAAATCCATTTAGTCTGGATTGAAAAGCAGGGCACATATCAATGCTGCTTCATGGCATTAATTATAACGGCCTGACAATAATGAAATATTATCATTTATAGTCTTGTATTGTTGTCATGAATTTAGCATTTTGTGTTATTGTTTTACACAATTCTGTAGGCCAAAAGAACAAATTTGAGCAATTTACTAATAGTGATTCAGCATATATTTGCTATATAATGAATTACAGTATAACAATATTGGAAAAACATAGTTATTTATATTGTGCTAATTAGATGGAGCACGGGTGAAAATATGAAAGCAAAACAGGTCTACTTTCATTTTAATGTATGTAATGTAATTTCATAATCTATATCCTTGACATCACACCGAACAGGTCCTGAAACTGTAGTGAGTTAATATTGACCCAGCTCACTACAGGGAGCCATTGTTGTCAGACAAGGAGGAGGACCGTCTCTTTGATCCCAACTTGTCCCAAAACAAACACACGGGCTGTCTGAAGTAACTAGAAAACTGTTGATCTATTGCACCTTGCTGCCTGCTAAAGCCCTGGCTAGTTGCCATGGCAGTTTATTCTTAAGAAAACCAGCCGAAAACAACCGCAAACAAAAACACCACGACTGTGAGGGGCTATGGTTGTTTTTGGGCAGCTAGTTCAACTATTTAAACTTTCATTTCAACTAGTTCAAGTTTTGATCTAACATATGGCAACGGTTCTTGCATACCTACTTCTATCTACATGGCCTTCCTGAATTCGGGGATCATTACTATCATATCAGAGCTATGACCTGATGGTGTCATTCGACGTACATTTTTTGACAACTTCATTGTCTGGGAATTTTTTGACAGTTTGAAGTTAAAAAGTGAGGCGCAGTTTGGACGCCAGGTTGAGTTAAGCAGCATGTGAGTAGGCAGTGCTACTGTGAAACAAACTCACTGAATCCTCTCACTTTTCTATTACTTGTGTCCCTTTGTCTCACTTCTGAATGTGTGTCTCCTCTTTCTCCCTTTCAGCATTAAAGAAAGGACAAGGAGGAGATGGAAAATACTCGTGGAGAACTGTTCATTTGCCGTGTGAGTTCATCTTACGCGTGTTAAATCTCGTGCAATAAAATCTCAGTATGAAGACAGGGGCAACATCAGAACAGTGAGTTTTGTTCTCCTCCTCTTTAATATTTCCCTCACATCTCAACCTTTTTGACCCCATTTTTTTTCCTTTGTTAGCCACTCCTCTGCCCTCCCCTCTAACCGGTCCATACTTCCTCCTCGGGGACGTCCAGCTGGTGTCAGCCAGGTCTCTGGTGACTGCTGCCCATGTTGAACATCACAATAGATTCACTGTGTGCCTGGTGTTATGTCCTAAATAATAAATGCAGCGCAGACGTCCCTTCGACATGTTCCACTCTTACAGGCCTGCAGGCCAGTTTCTGTGTGTGTTTCTGTGTGTGTTGTCAGTAGCAGGAGTGTGTCTGTGTTTACACCAGCTGAGATCCGGTGAAAAGAACAGAGTGAGGAGGAGTGTGCCGAGCCCGCTCCTTCACTGTTGTCCCCAAACAACACGGATATTGTTGTGGTGATGTGGAGGAGATTACACTGACAATGGCCTTTGAGGTGAGAGGATATCTTCATTTAGTGGTCGTGCACACACACATCCAAACAACTATGCACGGAGGCCCACAAGCACCTGCCTCTTATCACCCTCACACACACATCCAAGTTGTTTGGACACTAAATAAAGTCTCTCGGTGCGTGTCCAAACGCCACCATCTTCTGTCCTCTTTCAGATAAGACAAATTGTGCCCCTCAAGAAAGGTTGATGATACAAACAGCAAGCCAATTGGGGGGGGAGTCCATGTTTTAGGGACTTTTCTGTTAGATTTATCTGGTCATGTGAGGACTGTCTGTTAACACTCAGTCACACAGCTGTGGTCTAGGTTACTTCTTCTTTCCACTGACCCCCTCTTCATGTCTTTACTTACTAGACGACAGTAGTAGAAAAGCTAATCTTGTAAAGTCACACATCACACGGCGATGACTATGGAAAGGACATGCAAAACAACAAGACAGACTCTAAAAGGAACCCTTAAAAGACTCACACTGAAAACAGCGGTGGAGAGGTTGGGGTATTAAAGAAATCACAGAACAACTTACATTATTGCTCAAAATGTTACAATCTGAGGATGCCAAGTTTAACTTTTTAATATGCAAAAACATGCAGTGTTTGTCCTCGCATTCACTTCTCGTGTCAATTTTGCAACCCAGTTTCATTACTGCTTCTCTGACCTGAACCTTTCGAAGACAAATAAGATTTCACAAGTTTTCAGTGAACATTTTGTTACAGCGGACCACAAGAAAAACTTCCTCAACTCACCCTCAGTTTTTACCCTGCCAACCAAGCAAACACAGCAACCACAGTAACTGCCATGGCTGCCACAACACAACACTGACAACTAAAGCAAAACATCCCTCCACGGCAGCTCAACGCTCACCTGTTAGGATGAAGAGAACAGAGCAGACGTAAAGCGCTGTTCTTCCTGTGGCCTCCATGGCATCTTATCCTCTAGGGATATGTGGGACTTCTGACAGGCGGACAGGGAGTGAGGGATGTAGAAAGGAGGAGAGGAATGGAAGAGGTAAAGGAGGAGGAGGAGGAGGAGGAGGGGGAAGAGGAGGAGGAGAGAAATGTGACTGGTTGTGGTGACAACATTTGCCAGGGAAATAAGAGGACCTAGCTTTAGCCTGCATGCACCCAGGCCCCTCCCATGTCCAGGAGGAAGAAGAGGTCCACCTGGCAGGGAGACAGCACAGTGTGGTCCTCACACACACACACACACACACACACATACATACATACACCATACACACAGAGCTGCCCCAAGGCTGAGGGTTTCACTCTGTCATAGAGAAACTGAGACATAAAACTGTAAAAGGATAGTTGAGAGTAGAATAGAAACTGTTTCTTCACATTCTAATACACCAGCTGTCTGCTGCCTTAGTCCCTCAGGCTGTGAAACAAAGAAAAATCAGGCAGACGGAGAGCTTTTAACTGCCAGCGTTTGGTTAAGTTACAGAGCTCTCAGAGAACAGTAACGGACAGCAATCACTTATTCCGTCTGTAATGATTTTGTAGTCTGGAAATTAAAGGACAAAAAGACAGAGTGACTGATACTGGGATAGAACGAACGATAGACGCCGAGACATGTAGTGCCTTCAAGACACACTCTCATCGAGATCAGAGAGATATATGTTGACGACATTTTTATATTATTTTTCAGCCCTCTGGGAGACATTATTCCATGACAGAAAAATAGAGGAAAATCTGCTGTGAATTCTCGTCTAGCATACACCCTCACAAGGACTTGTTTGTGCCACAAACAGTGTGGGTTTGACTCTGAGGCATAAGTCTGTATCGCAGACTTTTCACTTAATTTTCCTACAAAGAAGCTGGGTTTTGTTTATTTCTGCTACAGACGCCACAAAGTCCCCAGCAGTCCATGAAAGGACAATTCCAAGGCAGCGTCCGCTCTGATCATTTTTCCAAATTGTAATCAATGCTGGCAATAGTGAAATCATACCCAGCCAAAGTTTTGTCACAGCAGATGCAACATAATCACATGTTAAACACTTTAACACTTTAACACTCACTATGTGCCTTCAGTGACTTGCTCAGTTGAGTTTCTTTCTGCATGGTCATCCTCTGAAAGGATATGGTGAAACTGAACTGCACAGTGAATGAATTAGGCCATTGTAGGTTGTGTAAATGAGTGCCTAGTTTGGTGATGGCACCATTAAATAAACTGATTATTTTCTCCACTGTCAAGTACTCCATGGGATGCCCATTTACTGAGAAACCTAAGGACAAAGATCAATGGTTTAAACGATTTTATCAATACAGCATTTGTTGGCCGGAACACATGATTTGGAGTCATCTATTTGTGTTCTTGGAAAACTAATAAATCTACATTTAACAAATTTAACTTCCAAACAAGTCCAAACAATCTCAGTTAAGTGAAAAGTTTATGTTAATATTCAAGTTAAAAAAATTAATTAAGAATTAAAAAAAGACATTTGCAGTATTTGCTTGTGCATTCACTTTATGAAGCAGGCTCTCTCTCTCACAGAACCTGCAAGTTTCCGCTTTACCTTTAGATGGGGTCAGAGCATCATCTATAAGAGTGTGCCAGTAGCTTTACAGAGAGCTGTACAGCCGGTTACAGTTGGTTGAAGTAATTAGTTTCTACTTGTTAATCATGACTACCGGCTCTGGCATTGCATGGCTCTGTGGCAGCGGTCCAGTCAGAAAATTATTTGCAGTTTTCTTAATTTTTTTTACCTTTTACCAGATTTGTCTTGCAATCACCTAAACAGGTCCACATATGTTAGTAACCACTGCTGTTTTGGATATGGATATATTGTTTTTTTCTTCTTAACCATTTCCACTTCTGTCAAATATGATTATGCAATTGAGAATAGTTTGTTGCCATCCACTCAAACCATCTTTCTCCAAATTTGGCGATTTTGAATCTTTCAAATAAACTGCAGGATTAAGTGTTCCTTTGTGGGTTGAGAAAATTGTCCCACTTCTCAAGCTAAATAAACTATTTAAAACCCCAATGTATTATCTGAAAGATGCACAAAGCTGAAAGGTGCTGCTAAAAATCAGGGCTTTTGGAGATTCATGGTTTTTACTGGACAGTTCATATCGCCACATGATTCCCTTCCCAGTGATTGTTTGGATTGAGAATTTAACATTATTCCTTCAAGTTTGGTCTACAGTCAAGAGCACTGACTAATAACAAAACTGTTACAGGAAGTGATGAGAAATTCTGTGTATTTTCATGCGAAAGGGAACAACATATTGTCATAACACTGGGGGATATTGAGAAAGACAACCAGATGGAGGTAAAGTAGATACACCCTTACACGTACAGTATTTAAAAGGGGGAAGATGATATAAATAGTCAGTGTTTAACACACAAATAAGTCCTCAACAGCAGTTTAGAGGTTCAAGGTTTCACATGTCTGCTCTGTGAGTGGTTTTGGGTTGAAGAAATGTTTGGTTTGAACCCTCTTATATTATTATGAATGAGAAAACCAATGAGGAACAACTAATGTATCTAACATATTTTATTAATCTGGTCTGGCCTGTACACTTTACATCTAGCAAGTTACGTTACAGTATGGTATGATCTGGTATGGCCTTTTTGGACCGCCATACCAAAACCAGGACACAGCAGCTGAGTGACACACCCACACACACACACACAACCTCAAATGGGGGCCCTCTTGCTGTGCTAAAAACATGTCACATTTTCCATTTTCAGCCTCCCAGCCTATGTCTGTGACTGTTGCCACACTTCACCACAACTCTGTTTGCCACCCGCTGCCTACTGATCCTCCTCATCCTCATCATATTATCTTGCTCTCCTTATTTTGTGGTACTAAATAATCTTAAATACTTATAAATTATTCCCACCTAAACTCCTCCTCGCTCTTTTAAACCATGCCTTTGTGCAGCTCCTCCTGAACATTTCCTCTCCTCCCCAACCCCCTGTATCTGTGCTCTCATCTACTCCAAATCCTTCTTCTCCTTCTTCTCTTTTTTCGATCCTTCCTCTTCTCCTCTTTCATTCCTCCTCTCCTCTAGCAGCCTTGGCCTCCAGCTGCAGACACTCAGAGCAGACACAGCACCAGCCCACATCAAGGCCACACTATTGGCACACGTGTGTGCATGTGCGTGTGTGTGTGTGTGTGTGTCTGGAGCAGTCGTTACAGTGGGGCCACATAGGGTGTCAGTGGACTACTGTGATGTACTGTAGGCTTGCATGCATATTTCTTAACCCATGGAAATGTGGAATAAAAGTTAACTGTGACTGTGTCGCTGTGTTTAAAGGTCTCTCTATTTTGTCAGTGAGGATGTGAAAGTGCAGGATGAACACATCTATGACCGTCATCTACAGTGTATATGACACCAGTTCAAGTTATATTTAAAGGATTGTTTATAGAAAAGCCAGCACACACGCTCAATTGATTACTGTGCGACCAAAACGAGAAGCGCGCGCGCATAGTTGTGCTTTTGAGGTTGCTGATAAGAGGATGTCACACCTTGGATGACAACTTGAAATGCTTTTAAGCTTCATAGGAAGAAATGTTAGCTTTTAGCTTATAGAAAACAAGACGCAGAGAGTGAGTGGGGTTAGGTGGAGCAGTGAGGAAGCATAGAGAAGAGGCGGGACGTTTGTGCGGGCTGTGAGAGATTTGATTGGATGACAAAGTTTCATTCACACACAAAGATTTATAACAGTGGGAAAAAGAACGCTGTACACACACACTGCACTGTGTGTGTGTGTGTGTGGGTGTGTGTGTGTGCGTGTGGGGGTGTAGTCGTGGGTGTCTGCAGCCGCATGTTTCCCTAATGCTTCATGTGAACAACACTTTTGTTTTTACTGCTGCACCGTTGAACCCTCTGGATTCTAACTGTAGTTGCTAAATAGTTACGTTGACTTCACAACCAACATTTGCCAGACGTGTGTGGGTCGAGTCATGTGAATGTTTCAGAGAGATTATCCATCCTGACACTTTCAAAAATCAGTCACAACATTGTGTGTATACTGCACGATCCTTATCTATAATGTGTCCAGAGCAAACATGAAATATGCCTCACAATTTACATGTTTTTATTATTGTTTGGTGGCAGCAGATATCCAGTGCAAGTACTGCTGTTGTGGTGTGTGTGTGTGTGGGTGTGTGGTGTGTGTGTGTGTGGTGCGGTGTGTGTGTGTGTGTGTGTCTTGTGGCAAGAGCCTCACCTTTAACGCATTCCACTATCTTGCGCCCACGCACGTCGCCATGTGACCCGCAGTCAATGGACAGGAAATGAGCTGATGTCAAACCTGCGCCGCAAACCCCAGATCCTCTCTGCTTCCAGTTCAAAGACTCAGCTTGTATGCTCACACAAAATACACCCACAGCACGAACTCAAGGTACACCATAGGAACATAGCTGCCATTTAAAAAAAATCTAGTCTGCGTGCACGTTTTCCCCGTACTTCATTGCTTTACCTCGGAGTAATGCTTTCTTAATTACAGGGACCCCTGTGGATATGATGAGCACATGTTTAGTCAAATTCCTCACTTAAATACTCAAGTGTACATCACGAGCAATGTGACATGGTATCTGTCAATGGCAGGTGTAGCACTGATAAAAATCCTCAAACATGTGGTTTACATAGTGACACCATATACACACCAAGAGAATATTATCTTATTCCTGTTCTCCAGTTAGAGGATCCTTAGAAGATAAAAAAAATCAAAGATTCTTACTCAGAACAGGCGCCTAGTATACACCCGGTTACATGTAAGGAATATGAAAACTGTCTGCGCCCAGACATGACTAAGTAAAATGTCTCTGCAGAACAAAGTGTATATATACTAAACCAGAGAAATGAAAGTTCACAGTTAATCCTGCAGAAATGAGTCCTTAATTAATTCCCCGGCAGCATTTCTTCCAACACACACATAAATCTCTGAAAAAATAGGTGTTTACATCGCTTATGCCCACAAAACAAACTGTGTTTGTTTTTTGTGGGGGTGCACGTGCATGCTACAGAGTCAAAGGACACAGCCACCTCTATTGTCTCTC